TCTCGCCACCAACGAACTCGCCACCAAGCGAAGTCACCTCGTAATAAGGCAGCGGATAAAAGAACGAGGAATAATCTATATACATGCGACTCGAAAAAAAAACTAAGAAGGCAATGCGTTGTCCCCATTAGTTTTTTGAAGCTAAATTTAATACTATTGACACTTTGATAAAGTCATTCATTCATTCATTCATTTCAACGATGCAAAAGACTACTGGTAATAGGCCCTTTGCAGCTGGGGTCACGTGACCAAATTTTCCCTAGAAATTTTTTTATTATGGGCTATAACTTGAAGAATGCCAGAAATGGAAAGAGCGCATCGAAAATACCAAAATGGCCAACTTTGAGGCCCCGGGCATTAAAGCGTAAGTTTATACAACAGTTTGAATTTTGGGAAAATTTAGAGGATTTGTATGGAAAATGTTGCTGCAGAGCAATTCCTTGCTCTCCGACAACTTTTTCCACACAAATCTTCTGATTCTTTTAAAAATCCAGACTGTCATAATATCTCATCCTTTAACGATGGAGGCCTCTAATTTGGCCATTTTGATATTTTCGACATGCTTTTTCCATTTCTGGCATTCGTTAAGTTATAACCCATAATTTTATGAAAAATAGGTCACGTGATGGCTTAGCTGCAAAGGGCCTATTTACCTCGACTACTTTACTCGACTAGTTTATTTTTTTGTTGGTGTTTGGTGGCGAGGTGACTTCGCTTCGTGGCGAGTTCGTTGGTGGCGAAATTCCCTGGTGGCGAGGTGACCGGATACCCCTCCCTCTTATTGGTTGTTGAACCCGCCATAAATGACAAATGATGATCTTGGTTCAAAACGTTGATCATGCACATTAAATGGCTTTCTGTATACATGTATATTACACATTTGGCGATATTCCGTTTAGGCCTCACTTTTGGCTTTCTTCAAAGAGGCCTGACCTCCTTAAGGGGCGGAAAACCTCCTGAGCTTCGCAACAGTTAAGTTTTCTGCCCTCCAGTAAGAAAACAGCTTATCAGGGTATCTAGTAAAAACCACCTGTCATATCGGATCTCTCTTATCACTCTCGCTCATCGAGTGCTTTACAGATCACAACTGATAAAGAAATACTCCTATAGCCTTCCTTTAACCAAGCTGACTATAAACATTATATGCTGGTAGAGCTTCACGCAGTATAATTTTCCTATCGATCACAATATGGCTAGGAAGTTGGAGTTGTGAATATTAACAAGAAATTAGGCCTTTTAATTTTAACTTAAGGAAATATTAGTATAGGACAAAATTAATTCGCAAAAATGAGTCGATAGCCGAATAATTTAACATCGCGTGGCAGAAACGGCCAGTTTCACAGGATAAGTGCTTTCAGAATTGTAGACCTTATGGCAACCAAAGACAACCAAAACTTCCAAACAATACTGACGTCAGGTAGACTGCGATTGTGGGGGATTTCATATCAGTAATACTATTGCCAGGAAAAAATGAAGTTTATACTCACCAAAGAAGACAATCAGTGCAAAGCAAAGAGTTCTGACCGCCATCAGTCTGAAATTGTTTTCCATGATCCTTTAACGTTCGTCGCTGCTTGGTAATCGAGACAACCAACCTAAGTTATGAATTCTGTCTGACTCCAGTGTTTTCTTTAAGCACCACCGGGAAATATTAGTAATTTGCTTCGTCCGCATAGATGGCCATGCGAAAGGTGGCGGCTTTAGAGAGCAACTTTATAATCATTTTTAATTAGCGCAACTCGCGTGACAGATGATGTCATGTTATTCCATCGTGATCACAGTGTGATGTCAGAAAACGTATACTAGACAGATGTTTTGCAATTAATTAATGTTGATGTGCGGACTTACCGTTTACAGTCGAAACTCCTCTAACGGCCACCTCTCTACAACGACCAGCTAGCTGAAAAGGTCGCTGCAGACGCCGCATACATTCACTCTTATTTTAACCTCTCTGTAACGACCACCTCCCCACAACGGCAACGGCCAATAAAGTTCATCCCAGGTTCTAAAACAACCTGTTAATAAGGTCTGTTAATGAACGACTGACAAGCGGTGTATTTAAAACACCGTATTTTTACTATGGCTCGACAAAACTCGTCTGATATGCCGATGAAGCGTTCCAAATAGGTACGATTAGGTGTAAATATCACTACAAATCATGAGATAACGACTTCTAATCAACACAAAGAGTGACCAGTTCAAGATATTGATTAACAGTTTTAGGCATTAAAAAAGACTAGTCACTAGATATACTTGTTGTAGGTTACCGACCGTCTGACACAAACCAACGGAACAGCCGCCGATGGCTGTTCTGTCGATTGCAGTTCTCGTAAACATGCTCGACAATGTATCCACTAACTTCAGATAGATAAAGCTAAGTAAACATCAGCCGTAATATTATGTCACATATTTTAACCCGGAAATGCCGTTAACTGCATGGAACATTTTTCGCTACAAACCTTGTTTGGTTTTAAAACTACAATACCCCTATGACACTTTGCGTC